TGCTCCAAGCCTACCCCTTAGTGCTCCAAGCCCATTCCTTGGTGCTCCAAGCCCATCCCTTGATGCTCCAAGACCACATCTCCTTGGTGCTCCAAGCAGACCTCTAGATGCTCCAAGCCCACCCCTTGATGCTCCAAGCCCACCCATTGGTGCTCCAAGACCACATCTCCTTGATGCTCCAAACCCATCCCTTGATGCTCCAAGCCAGTGCCCTCCCCACTGGCTCTCCCCTCTGAAGAGGGAAGTGATCAGCCTGAAGAGGAGCACAACAACACTTTAAACAGAACAGGGAAGGAGACTCTGACACACATCTTTGCCTATTAAAGGGGCAACGAGGTGGAGAACCTCCTCCTTCCTTCTCCCAGGGGATGGAGACACAGCAGCACAGTCAGCTTCTGCTTCCTGCCCCCTGAACCACATCAGTTAGCACTGACTTCCTGCTCAACCCACCCAAAAACCACTCTTGCTGTTGAGGAAGTGCCTCTCCCTCTCTGCAGAAGGGCCCTAACTGCTTCTCCTCCCCGGGCACAGCTGGAACTCTCAGGCTTCCCCAGTGACACTTCCAGGTGGCTCTTCCAAAGTGGCTCATTCCCACTGCTCTGTGCTTCCTACAGGAAGGCAGCCCTGAGTCAGGGAGCACTCGGAGCCCTGTGAGCCAAGGGAGGAGCTCATCCAGCCCTCGGGACTCACCATCACTTCCCCAGGCCACAGAGATCCAAGAGGACTCCCCAGGACCTGGGGCCAGGCTGGGAGCACTGGTCCTCTCCCTTGCAGGGAGGTTCAGAGCGCTGGGAGAAACACTCATGTTCCCATGACAACGCTGCTGTGGCAAGCAGAATTCCTTATGTGGCTGTGAAGAAAGAGCCCCGGGAGTGGCCTCGTCCCACTGCCTGGCAGGAGCTCCTGCCATGGGCCTGGGCAGAGCTTGATCCACCCCTGGCAGTGCCACAGTGTCACAGACACAGGACTCGGGCACTGCGGGGGAAGGCTCAGCTCCACACTTGGAATGGAACTGGCAGCAAAGTCACTGTGCAAATTCATCAAGTCGCGCTCAGGTTTGAGCCAAGACCTGCTCTGTGTCACCTCACCCCTGTTCCCAGCTGTGCCTGCACCCCTGGCCCAAAGGACACAGCCACCACAAGGTCCTGGTCCTGTCCTGTGTCACCTATCCCTGTCCACAGCCTGTGTCCCTGGCCCAACAAATCCAGCCAGGAGGGGCTGCCCTGTGTT